AGAATTGAAAGTTAACTACGATGTCACATCAAATAAAATAAAAGCAAAATATACTGTTTATAAAAGATGATAACCCAAACAAGTCACTCAGTAGGAAAGGCACTTGGAATTGTTTTTCCAGCTGTTTGTAGCAATCAGATCCAAGTACTTGATGCATTATTATGGTGAAACGTCACTATACCCAATACTTTGTGAATACCACAACACAGGCCTACTGTACCTCCATAATCAACTAGATAAGTATTTATTGAATATCTGCTATATGCACGGCACTTCTGCTCTACACCAACTATGACTGTCAGGCTAAATTCAGCCCATCTCATGTTTTTGTGTGGCAAGCAAGGTATGAATGATTCTCACATTTTTAAATGGTTGCAAGAACCACCTTCAAACACTGTTAGGGAACACTTAATAGCTTTGGAAACTAACTTTTGATGCAGGCTTGATAATGTTTATTAATGAATTCAACCTAAAATTACAAGGCAAAACAATGCTTATATGTTAAACTTAAACTGTAGTGAAGTCATTTTGACAATTAATATTGTTTAAATCACAAGTAATGTCAAGATGCTTTATCCACTTCCTGTGCTGTCACAAGTCAAAACAATAAAACCACAATGAAATACCACTTTACACTCACTAGAATACCTATAATAAAAAAGATAGATATTCATAAGTATTGGTAAAGATATGGAGAAATTTGGCTGGGTGCATTGGCTCACACCTATAATCCCAGCATTTTGTGAGGCCACAGTGGGCAGATCACTTGATGACAAGAGTTCCAGACCAGCCTGGCCAACATAACAAAAACCCATCTCTACTGAAAATACAAAAATTAGCCAGCATGGTGGTACCTGCCTGTAATCAGCTACTCAGGAGGCTGAGGCACAAGAATCGCTAGATTCTGGGAGGCGTAGGTTGCAGTGGGCTGAGATCATGCCACTGCACTGCAGCCTGGGTTACAGAGTGAGACTCTGTCAAAAAAAAAAAAAGTGGATAAATCTGAACCCTCAAACATTGCTGATGGAAAGGTAAAATGGTACAGCCACTTTCATAAAGAGTCTGAAAGTTTCTCAAAAGGTTAAACAGAGTCCTGATATGACCCAGCAATTATACTCCTAGATAAGTAACCAGAATAAATAAATGAAATCTCAGCTGCACATGGTAGCTCACACCTGTAATCCCAGCACTTTGGGAGACCTAGGTGGGAGGATCACTTGAACCCAGGAGTTCAAGACCAGCCTGGGCAACATAGTGATACCCTGTATCTACAAAAAATCATAAATTAACTAGGTGTATTGGTGCATGCCTGTAGTCTCAGCTACTCTAGAGGCTGAGGTGAGAAGATCGTTTGAGCTGTGGAGGTGGTCATGCCACTGCACTCTGGTCTGGGCAACAGAGGAAGACCCTGTTTCAATAACAAATAAATAGGCCAGGCTTGGTGGCTCATGCCTATAACCCCAGCACTTTGGGAGGCCGAGGTGGGTGGATCACCTGAGGTCAGGAGATCAAGACCAGCCTGGCCAACATGGTGAAACGCTGTCTCTACTGAAAATACAAAAATTAGCCTGGTGTGGTGGCATATGCCTGTAATCCCAGCTACTCGGGAGGCTGAGGCAGGAGAATCGCTGGAACCTGGGAGGTGGAGGCTGCAGTGAGCCGAGATCATGCCACTGCACCTCAGCCTGGGCGACAGAGCAAGACTCCATCTCAAAAAATTAAAAATAAAATAGGCCGGGTGCAGTGGCTCATGCCTGTAATCCTAGCACTTTGAGAGGATCACCTGAGGTCAGGAGTTGGGAGACCACCCTGGTCAATATGGTGAAACCCTGTTTCTACTAAAAATACAAAAATTAGCTGGGTGTGGTGGCATGCACCTCTGAAGGCTGAGGCAGGAGAAACACTTGAGCCAGGGAGGCAGAGGTTGCAGTGTGCCAAGATTGTGCCGCTGCACTCCAGCCTGGGTGACAGAGTGAGATCCCGTCTTAAATGAAATAAAATGAAATAAAAGTCAAAACAAGAAGCAAGATCTCTATTTTCATACAAATTTGCAGCATATATATTTTCTGAGTTCAGACTACAGTTCCAGCAGCAGTGTTTGGACCTTGAAGCAAGTGCAAAGGCTATTTCCATATTCCAGAATCCATTTAACTGTGCAATTGAGCAGCTTTCACCAAACTTTCAGTTGGAAGTGGTTAATCTGCCAGTATAATGCTAAAAGGCACTATTAAGAGAAGAACAGAATTCTATTCCAAGCAATGAATATGCTCAATTAAAATCATGTTTGTGTAACCTTGATAGTATATGATGAGAATGTGGTACTTGACTTCTGCAGACTTTCTTCCAAACATGTAAAATCAGTCTAAGCATAAAAAATACATCAGATAAACCCAAATTGAGGAATTTTCTACAAAGTATCTGACGAGTACTCCTTAAAACTGTCAAAGTCACCAAAACAAGAAAAGTCTGAGAAAGTATCACTAACCAGAAGAGGCTAAGGAGATACAAGGACTAAATGTAATATTGTATCCTAGATGGGGCATCTCTAGAGATAAACTAGTACAACTGGAAAAAAAAGCATGGGATATAGTTAATAGCAATATACCAATATGGGTTTATTAGTTGTGACAAAGATAGCATAGCAATATAAGATGTTAATGATAAGAGATTCAGCAAATGGTGCAAGGACAATTTCTATATCCCCATGTGAAAAGATGAATTTAGATTCTCATCTCACATTATAGAGAAAAATGAATTCAAAATGAATCATATACTTAAATGTAAGAGATGTGGCTCACATCTATAATCCCAGCACTTTGGGAGGCCAATGCTGGTGGATGACCTGAGGTCAGGAGTTAAAGACCAGCCTGGCCAACATGGTGAAACCCCATCTCTACTAAAAATACAAAGATTAGCTGGGCATCGTGGCTGGTGCCTGTAATCCCAGCTACTCAGGAGGCTGCAGCAGGAGAATCACTTGAACCAGGGAGGCAGAGGTTGCAGTGAGCCGAGATCCCGCCACTGCACTCCAGTGTCTCAAAAATAAAATTTTAAAAAATATATAAATAAATAAATGTAAGAGATGAAGTAATAAAGCTTTTAGAAGAAAACATTGGAGAAAATCACTGAGACCTTGCAATTAGGCAAAGACTTCCTAAGTACAACACCAAAAGAATGGTCCATGAAAGAAAGAAAAATGATAAATTGGACCTCACCAAAATTCAAAACATTTTCACTTCAAAAGACACATCAAGAAAAGAAAAAGGCAAGCAGGAAACTGAGAGAACATATGTGCGTATCATATATCTGTCAGGAACTTGATCTAGAATACATAAACAATCCTTACAACTCAACAATAAAAAGACAATCCAATTTAAAAATGGTAAAAAGATATAACAGACACTTCACTGAAGAAGATATACGAATGGCTAATAAGCACATGAAAATATGCTCACAATATTATAAATTATAACCACAATGAGACATCATTTTAAACCCACTTAGGATGGCTATAATAAAAAACATAGTAAATAACAAATATTGGCAAGGATGTGGAGAAACAGGAACTCTCATACATTGCTAGTGGAAGTGCAAAATGTTGCTGCCATTTTGGAAAACAGTTTTACAGTTTCTTAAGAAGTTCAACATAAATTTTCCCTGTGTTCCAGTAACTCCACCCTTAAGTATCTATTAAAGAGAAATGAAAAAATATATCCATACAAAGACTTACATACTAATCTTCTTAGCAGCACTAGTCATAGTAGCCAAAAACTGGAAAGTTGTGTGTCTATCAAACGGTGAGTAGATAGACAAAAATACGTTATATTCATAAAATGGAATACTATTTGGCAATAAAAAAGTGAGGAAGTACTGATACATGCTACAATATGGATGAATCTCAAAAATATGGTAAATGAAAGAAATCAGATGCAAAATACCACATATTATATGATTTCATTTACATAAAATGTCGAGAACAGGCAAATTTATAGAGACAAAAAGTAGATTAGTGGGTGTCTGGGGCTGGGAGTGGGACAGAGGATTGATTAACTATAAATGGGCATGAGAGAGCTTACTGGGGGGTAATAAAAAAGTTCTAAAACTGATTTATGGTGATGGTTGCCCCAATTTAGTAATGTTACCAAAAATCATTTAATTATGCACTTGAAATGAGTGAATTTTATGATATATAAAATGTACCTTATCCTGAGTGAGGGAACTCTACTAACCTTGCAATTTTTTTATAAATCTAAGACTATTCTAAAATTTTTGAAAAATTCATTTAAATAAAAAGAAAAAGAAAAAAGTATATGTTTATGAATTGATATCAGTATTTGGCAGTACCCATCTGTGTAAAATGACATTTTCAAAGATTAAATAGGTAAAAAGCTCATAACAGATCAGCATTATCAGATGAATATTTAAAATCTATTTTGACAATAGGAAACACTAACTCTGATCCCCAATTAAGCAAAATACTATCCCCTAAAAATAATTCTTTTCTTCTTATTGGTAGTCCTGTATTACAAAAAAGTACTCAATTACTATTATTATATTTTGAATTTCATCAATAAACATTTGTTGAAGTTTATTTTCTCTCTTGTCATAAAAGTACCAACAAAATATTCTTGATTTTGTCTTTTGGCCTACAAAGCCTAAAGTATTTACTATCTGGCTCTTTATAGAAAGTTTCCTGACTCCTCTTCTACACTATACTAGGATAAACATTAACATAATCAGTCTCTGTCTTGAAAGTATTCTTATCATTACCTAGTTGTGGCATAATGTCCTCTGGATATGCCCTATAAAGGATAAGTCTTGCATTGCTTCTGCTATGGCACTATTTGGGATTTCTATTAAAAGAAACACTATTAGCTTAATAGTTGTAGCAAAGCCTTGATAACATAGTTAATATCGTAATATTAAAGTGCCAACACCACAGCCCAGTATCCTTAAGATGACCCTCATTAAGTTGTGATGTCACCAGGCTATGGACTCACCGAGGTCTCTTAGGTATCAAGTGGCTCCCACGGCATCAGACCCTGCCTTTGGCATCACCCTGGCTCATCACCTCAGTACGGTGCCATATGATATCACTGCTGTGGTAGAACCCTGTCCTGACGCCACTCTGCGGAGAGGTCAGAGTAATTAACCCCCACTTCTTTCCACTCCCTGGGCGGTGGCAGGGAGGGGGAGGGTAGCCACAGTCACCGGTTCGAGCTCAGAAGGTAGTACTCAGCTCCAATCCTTGTCCCTTCCGCCTGCCACTGCAGGTCAGGGACCCTGGGGGACAGGACCTTTAGGCTTCCATAACTCTCTTGCCGTGCCCCCGCACCCGCTTCGTGTGGCCGACTCAACGACCCAACAGCGACTACCCACCCCGGCTCTTTCACTCGGTTCCTCTCAAAGCCGCTCCCCGTACCTGACTCCATTCTCCAGCTGTCATCCTGGGCCAATTCCACCGGCAACTTGACTACGGACGCTCGCAAGGAACCCTGGGACATGTAGTTCCGCACTGCTAGGGGCCAAGTCTGTGAGGGCCGCAAAGGCGTCTCCCCGACAGGAACTGCCTTCAAACTGCAACTCCCAGAGGGCCGCGCGATGGGAAAGGAAAAGGGAGCGAAAGAGGCCAGTGATTGGTGGAGCTCTAACGGCTGTTTTGACTGGCAGTCGGAGCCGGCGACGGAAGGCGGGCGTTGGTCGCGCTTTAAGGAGTTACTGGGAAAGCGAAATGGAGGGGTGTGTGTCTAACCTAATGGTCTGCAACCTGGCCTACAGCGGGAAGCTGGAAGAGTTGAAGGAGAGTATTCAGGCCGATAAATCCCTGGCTACTAGAACTGACCAGGTAAAGCAACGCTAGGGTCTCTCCGAAGCCGGCGGCGTCGGGGAAGCCCTACGTGGCTGTCGGGGCCCTGCCCTAGCGGAGGCCCTGTTTCTGTGAGGAGAAGAACCCCGCCCCCAGCGCCCCAAGGAGTCCCCCGGGGTCACCTCAGGACTCGCGATTGGCCTGCGGGAGCTAGCCCCTCAGACCTCAGATACTTTTCTTTTTGGCCTGGAGCGCCGCTCCTTGATTTTTGGATAGTTCTAGAACGTCTACCGCGTTTCTCAGAAACTCCCAATCCGTGAAAAGGAAAGCTTTTTATATAGATTTTTTTTTTTTTTACCTTTATTAGTAACTGTATTCTGTAAAACATGTGTAATTGAACGCCCCTTCTGTGTCAGGCAGTTTGCTAGGAGCTGGAGATACGGTGGAGTGGAAGCAGACAATAAAATAAGCATAAAAACATGTCCGATTACAAATTGTGGTAAATACCCGACCAAAAAGTTTACATGGTGCTTTAGGAGGCACCATGTAATAGGGGATCTGATACCGAATAGGAGGTTCTGATGCCGAATATGACTGTCATTAATTGGAAAAGGCTTTGCAAGGAAGGGATAGTTAGACTTTAAAGCATGAATGGGATTTCCATAGGGGAATGAGTGGACATTCTAAACAGAGGCAGACAAAAGTGAAAGGATGTTCAGAAGTGTTTCTGCCCTTCTGCTCACAGGACCGTTTTCATCCTTAGTTTCTGGGATTCTCAGTGCCCTCAGTAAGCCCACAAATATTTATAGATGGCCTTGTGTTTCGCAGGCAGTGTGCTAGGCCCTAGTGAGACAGTGTCTCATACTTACAAATCTCCATTTTGTGTCTTTTGGGGGAGAATTAGAACCCAAGAGACTGTTTTTTCTGGAACTTTATTACTCAACCTGAAAATGGCCTTACCTTTACCTAGTTTACCTTTTTTTTAAATTTAAATCACTAGATATTTAAGGATTTAAATTTAAATGTAATAATTTATATTGTTAGGATTTAATGATACTCCATTGGAAATTTAACCATTCTTCAGTCAAGTCAGTGGCCTAAAAAGGGAAGGGAGCGATTCAGGATAAAAAGACCTCAAAAACAATAACAAATCAATTTATGGATCTTGTTTGGTTCCTGATTTAAACAAACCAACTGCAAAAAGACATTTGGGAGGCAGTTGGGGAAATCTGAATACAGATCGGATATTAGACATTCTAAAGGAGTTAGTGTTAATTTTAATAAGTGTAATGATCTCATATAAGAAATGCTTTTATTTTTTACATACTGAAAAGTGAAAATCCTGATATTTAGGATTTGTTTCTAGAAAACTCAGCAAGGAAAAAAACTAGATAAAGCAAATAGGGCAAGATGTTTGTTAAATCTAAGCGGTAGGCGTGTGGGTCTCTATTGTATTACCTCAATTTTTATGTGTTTGAAATTTTTTGTAATAGAACTGAAAATACCATTTTCTATTCTATGGGGCTAAGAAGTACAGCGGTCACTGCAAATAGTTATTCCCTTGGACAAATATGACTACCGGTTTTTTTTTTTTCTTTTTGAGACGGAGTTTCGCTCTTGTTCCCCAGGCTGGAGTGCAGTGGCGAAGTCTCAGCTCACTGCAACCTCTGCCTCCTGGGTTCAAGTGATTCTCCTGCCTCAGACTCCCAAGTAGCTGGGATTACAGGTGCCCACCACACCTGGCTAATTTTTGTTTTGTTAGTAGAGACGGGGTTTCACCATATTGGCCAGGCTGGTCTCCAACTCCTGACCTCAAGTGATCTGCCTACCTCAGCCTCCCAAAGTGCTGGGATTACAGGTGTAAACCACCACACTGGCCATAGCTTATTATTTTTTATAAAAAGTAATTTTCTTGCTCTCTGTTGTTTTCTAAATTATATTTCTAATTTATTTATAATTTTAAATTATAGATAATTTCAACTAGTTTAATGAACATTTCTTCCATTAGATTCATGTGTTCTTTCTACAGCATCTAACTTGAGGTCACTGTGGCAGTAGAGATTTCAGAATTAGAAATTCACTGACAGTTGTGTCCCAACTTCACTATTTAGTATCCATATGACCGTCCCCAAGTGGCTTACCCTGAGGAGTTTTAGTTTCCTCATCTGAAAAATGGAGATAATAAGCACTGTATAGAATGGTAGGAATTAAATGATATGATACATGTAAAACTCCCAGCACAGTGCCTGGCATAAAAGTATATAAATACTGTAATAGTAAAACAACCAAAGATGTATTTCTGTCAAAGCATTAAAATCAGTTTCTTGCTCTACTGCTTTCTTTGTCATATTCAGGCCAGAATAATGTACATTTATCACTGTCATTCCCCCCATGTTACTTAAACCTTCATCTATCTGCCTTATACTAGGAAGTAATATGGTTTAAGGTTACCCACCTGAGGATCCAGTGCTCTGCATTTCGTATTTCCAAACTATAGATTTGCCAGCACCAGTATTATTTTTTCTTGCTTTTTTGCCTTCTATTTCTCTTCAAGAATGTTTATTTTATTGCTTCTCTATTTCCCATGTAGGACAGCAGAACTGCATTGCACTGGGCTTGCTCAGCTGGACACACAGAAATTGTTGAATTTTTGTTGCAACTTGGAGTGCCAGTGAATGATAAAGATGATGTGAGTACTTTGACAAAGTTGAGTCGATAAATTCTCAGTTATCTTTATACTCCAGACTGGTGTTAACTGAAGCCTGTGCGTTAAGCTCATAAACAAAATTGTAACCTTTATGATTGGAAAGTTACAGTATGGCCCTTGTGATCAAGCATGAGACTCATGGTTGCATTATTTTACAAAGATATGTTTGCCACTCATACTCTGTGATGTAAGGTAAACACAGGAGAGGCTGAGGTAAGAGGATTGCTCAAGCCCAATAGTCTGAGGCTGTAGTGAGCTATTGTGCTCTATCCTGGGTGACTGACTAAGGACTGAGACCTTGTCTATAAAAATTTTAAAAAGTAATCCTACAGATCAGGGCTTGTTATGGTGAACCCTAAAAGACCATAAACTCTTTCTATTATGTTGGAATTTTTTTGTGTGTGAACATGGACTGAATAATGAGGACCTAGGTAACTTTCTGCTATATAAAGAGACTTAAATTGTCATGGTATTGGTTATATTAGGATTAGATTTTTGAGGAATAAGACTGGAACCTTTTTTGTAGGCATTTTTTTTTTTTTTGCCTTTATAAAGCTCCTTGTAAACTCTGCATAAGTGTTAGCACTAATCCTTGTACCTTTTTCCCCTGGTGTTTCTACTACCTACTTCTTTTTTAGGCAGGTTGGTCTCCTCTTCATATTGCGGCTTCTGCTGGCCGGGATGAGATTGTAAAAGCCCTTCTGGGAAAAGGTGCTCAAGTGAATGCTGTCAATCAAAATGGCTGTACTCCCCTACATTATGCAGCTTCCAAAAACAGGCATGAGGTATGGTTCCATCTCTAGGCTACATCTGTTGAATTCCAAAAGTGTATACAAACACAGATAGATCTCTTCATTGCTTTCTCCTTTCTTCTCCAACTTTCCAGATTGCTGTCATGTTACTAGAAGGTGGGGCTAATCCAGATGCTAAGGACCATTATGAGGCTACAGCAATGCACCGGGCAGCAGCCAAGGGTAACTTGAAGATGATTCATATCCTTCTGTACTACAAAGCATCCACAAATATCCAAGACACTGAGGGTAACACTCCTCTGTAAGTGACAAGTAGCAGTCATTTGTATTCTACCTGACATTAGCCCTCTTGCAATAATTTTTATACACAGCATTTCTTTTTTTTATTCTGCTTATAAATGCAATATGTGTTAATGGCAAAAATGCTAAAGTGCACAAAATATAAAGATGAAAATTGCCTATTATCTTGCCATTAAGGAATAACCACTAATCACATTCTTGTGTATTTCCTCTTGGTCTTTTATATGCAAATGTATATATTTTACACCTTTTTCTTTTTTTTAGCAAAGTTGAGGTCATACTGTATATGTAGTTTTAGATCTTGTTCTTTTCACCTCATAGTATATTATAAGCATTTTCTAATGTCATTAAATATGTTTAAAACCTTTTTAATGATTATATAAAATTCTACTGTATAGATGTGCCATAATTCAATCATTTCTCTATTATTGTATATTTAAATTTTTTTGAGTTTTTCACTATTATAAATAATCATATATTGAGTTGGGCATGGATGGCTCATGTCTGTACTCCCAACACTTTGGGAAGCCAAGGCAGAAGGATCACTTGAGGCCAGGAGTTCAAGATCAGCCTGGGCAACACAGCAAGACCCTGCCCCCATCTCTAGAAAAAATTTAAAAATTAGCCAGGCATGGTGGCATGCACCTGTAGTACTAACTACTCAGGAAGTTGAGGTGGAGGTTTGCTTGAGCCCAGGAGCTCCAGGTAACAGTGAGCTTTGATCACACCACTACACTCCAGCCTGGGGAACAGAGCAAGACCTTGTCTCTAAAATAATAATAATGCTACACTGACCAACTTGG